GAGGTATTAATATACCTCTTCCGTTGCATTATCTACTACATTTTTTGGTCAGTTTAACACGTGATTAATTCGTCCAAAATGCAAAAAATTTGCTTCTATCCTTCTAAATTTATCTTTTGTCATCGGAGGTAAATGCGGATAATTTTCATTAAACATTCTGCAAGTTCTACCAAGAACTTTGTCGCACTTTTCGTGCACAAAAAATAAATTATGGATTTCTTTATTTGTATAAACATTATTTACGTTATTAATATCCATTTTATCTGGTTTCACACTCACAAGCATCAAACAACGTAAATCAGACTTTGTCTCCGTTAACTCATATCTATAAATTTTCCATTGAAACATCATCCTTTCCGTCCATGTGGAAGCTTGCGCATGTTGTGCCTATTCCTAAGCTAAAAAACTCCAGTTTCCCCTTGTGACTTTCGTCCTATATCAAGTTTCTCTATCCTGTCAAATGCTATTGAGCGTATTATGTATAATTAAGTATTTAATTATCTTGAGGAGCGTGGTATAATCAATGACTTACAGTCTGGTTTCCGGCCAGATCACAGTACTACAACTGCACTGATCAAGATTACTGATGATATAAGATACGCTTGTGATAACCGACGTTTGACTTTGCTAGTACTGTTTGATTTCAGTAAAGCCTTTGATTCAGTCGATCATGATATTCTCCTTGCAACTCTCTCATCTATCGGTTTTTCTCCTACTTCTTTCTTATGGTTCCGATCCTACCTTTCCCATCGCCTCTTATGTGTTCGCACTGACACAAGCCCTTCGTCCACTCACGAACTTTTTTGTGGGGTGCCCCAAGGAAGTGTTTTGGTTCCCCTGCTTTTCTCTATTTTTATCAATAGTGTCACAAAAATAATTTCTTCTAGTTATCATTTATATGAAGATTACCTCCAGATTTACACCAATACTGACTGGTCTAAGCCTTTTGGGTTAAAGCTAAATGCTACTAAAACTCAAGCAATTGTGTTTGGTACAAATTCTTTTTTAAATAGATTACCCGCTTTTACTAATTCCCAACTTATCCTCGATGGCCTCGACTCCTCTCTCCGCATAGCTTATATCTGTTTCTCTTCAATTTGTAATTCCATTAAATCGGTCTTAAAAAATTAGGGAGCTCTAATTTTGAAAAACTGATAACGGAATCCGACAATCGACATTATTTGACACATTTTGGTAAAAATCGCGTTGAAATCACCCAGATCGTTTTCAAAATAACCGCTCCACTAAACCGCGATTTTCCGCGAAACTATATGGAATATCGAAAAAATAAAATATGCCCCACATTAAGAACACATCGGTTTACCACTAGTTCAAATTTGAATTTTTTTCGTCAAATAGTTTTAGAAAAAAAAAATTGCAAAGTAGACAAAGTTTCTGGCACTCTCAAAAATCGGGTACTTTTTTCACTTAACTCGCGATAAAAGAAAAACCGCGGGCCCGAAAATTTTCAAATTAACATGTCATACGCAGAAATGTTCACTGATAACAATAAACTTTACCGTAATTTTTTCCATAGAGCGGTTACGAAGATATCAATCTCTAAAGTGAGGGGCCTTGACTTGTTGCACGGATAGTAGATATGAACTTCAATTATATCTCTGAAACAATTGTTTTTAGGACCTAGGTTTACCAAGACTTTTTTGTTTATCTTGATGAGAACTATAAGTGGGTAAAATATAGGAACACAATTTTTAAACACCCGGTGTATGAACTCCATCGCGTCAATTTGTTGTTCTTGAGTAAGGTTTGAAACTTGATTGAATGGTAAAAGCACGCTCTTTCTTCTCTTCAAATAAATTTTGAAATCATTTGAAGAGATGGCAACATCGTTTTCCTAAAAGTCCATGTCACTTTCGAAAAGATTTTCTCTTAAATTTACTTCAACATTTGACATATATTCACAAACTTTGTAAACAATACAGTCTTGTGTTTGAAATTTGTCTAAAGAGTCCGCAATTAGTTTCAATTATATCTAATAAATTTCTTTTCATATGTGCAGGTAGCAATTCAGATGATTCTTCTTTTACAGCTAGGTGTTGAAGTGACATTTTTGAT